ATTTGACTCAAAATTCCACTTAAAAAAGAAAATATAATAATTGTAAATGACGTAATTGATCATTAAAACAAAAAAAATCGAATTGAAAACGCTCATTTTTATTTTTTTATTTTTTTTTGTTTTTTAGGATTAAATTCAGGCGTCATGTTAATGAATTTAACTCGTATTCGCGAAGTTAACATGATTGATGATATTTTGAAAATCTATAATATTTATGAGAAAAATATAACATGGGGTGATCAGGTTAGTGAGTAGAACGATACTAGAACGATTGTTTTTTTTGAGTGTTATTTTTGTTTTTAGTGTTTATTGAATATTTATTTTAATCAATATCCAGGTAGGCGTAAACAGCAACGTTTAAATAGTAGTTAACCACTCCTAGTTAATATTTTTTATGATGTGAACATAGACTAATAACTTTTAGCCAATCGAAATATTTATTTTTCTTTTCTTTTATTTATTAGAAAGGCTATTGGAGTTCACATGTGAATGGAATTATCGGCCTGATCATTGTATGTACGAAAATAATTGTCCAACAACAGAAATAATGGGTATTAAACTTTTACATGGTTGTCGTGGAGCATTTCATAATGAAAAATATCAAGAATTTAAAGCAATTTATCGTGCGATTGATGAGGTTTGCTTCGTATTTTTTTGTTTTAATGATCAATTACGTCATTTACAATTATTATATTTTCTTTTTTAAGTGGAATTTTGAGTCAAATTTAAAATCAACAATATTACATAAAATAAAATTATATTTAAGTGAACATTCGACAACAAACTGTGGAAAAATTAGTTCGATGTTCACAAAACATATTGCCAAAGAAATATCGGCAAAAAATAGAAAAAAGTAAGCATTTTTGTTTTTCTTTTTCCCTATCTACAGTTAAAATTGATAGATTTATTTCTATTTTTTAGCGATATTAATGATCATGGAACATGTTCAGCAACAAATGAATGTACTAAACCAACATTGAACAATGTTTCGTCAATTCAGAACAGTCCTCATTTAGCATTGGTCATTTGTGGTGATCGTGATGAAGAAGTTCTTGTATTGTTGAAATCAATATTTTTATTTACAAAATATTCATCAACAAACATTTATCTTCATTTAATAACAGATGAACAAGCTAAAAAAAATATGATAAAAAAGGTAAACTTAGTCATTCTTTCTGGAGACGAATTTGTCTGTTATCTTATATATAATACACAGAAAATATAAATAAGTTTGTTTTGTTCATCCTAATTTAACTCTAACATTTACATAGTTTATGTATCGCCATCAGAAAAGTTAAATAGAATACCGAATAAAAATGAAAAATTATAGACTAATTCTAATTTTGTTCTGTTTTCTTTGTAATCTTTATAATGTAAGATTTGCTCTGCATTTTTTATTTATAATCAAACAACAATCTTTTCCTTTTTTCTTATTATAGCTTTCCGAAGTTCCACTTTTAATGAGACAAATGTTTATAGTTAAATACTATGATATAATCTACCCATCTTATGTTGATCGTGAACAATGGATTAATTTATTTCGATATTGTGGAACTCAACGAATCTTTTTACCAGTAAGTATCCTATTTGTTTATCTAATATTTCGATTATGATGTATTTTTATTTTCCTATTTTATTTTAGGATAATTTACCAGAATTAGATCATATTTTATATTTTGATACGGATACGCTATTGTTACAATCTTTGGATAGATTTTGGTCATTATTTAATAATTTTAATCAAACACATATTGTTGGACTAGTGAAAGAAAATGAAGTATTACAATTGTCATGGTATCCATTGTATTCAAAACATCCATTTGTCTGGCCAACAGGTATGAAGTGTATATTTCTAATTAAAATGTATTTGATCATTTTTCTTATTTGTTTTTTATCAAGTTTATTAAAATTCGTAAGTAAAAAATAAAAGTATTACTCTTTTGTGTTATATGCTTTTGTTTTGCTGAAATGAATTGCATGTATGTTAGACAAGGACACAGCGGTGACTGGCTTAGTACAAATTTGTATCTTTACACGTTCATTTATATATTCGTACAAAAAATTTTAATATTTGATTTTCTCACGTTGAAAACTTCTCTTTTATTGAATGTGAAAACGTTAATCAACATTCAAGAGATTTAATCTAACTGTAACGTTTTAATTCCACACAAATATTCTCTGTTTTGTGATTGCTCTTAAAACTGCTTAATACTTTCTGATTATACCATTTAAATATTTTCATTTTAATCATGTCTATTATTTTTCTATTATTTAGGTGTAAACTCTGGCATG